CCACCACAACTTTGTCACAAGATGGCTGCCACAAGATGGCTGGCAGGGGAGGGCAGTTGGGGGCATTAGGCAGGCAGGCAGCTGAGTAGTTAGGAGCCAGTGGTCCTGGATTGATAGAGGGATATCCAGCTGCTAGTTTAGGCCCCATGGGATCAGGCCTAAACCAGCAGCCTGACATCCCCCAGGGGTCCCAGATTGGAGAGGGTGCAGGCCAGGTTGAGGGACAACCCCCCATGTACAAATTTTGTGCACTGGGTCTCTTGTTATTTATAAATGAGAAAAAAGAAGGGGAAATATCAAAGTTTTGCTTTTGGAAAAGATGGATAGAAGAAAACATAATGTTTAGAATTTTGGATAACACACAAGTACTCCATCCCCATTTTCCATTACATCTATATACATTAAACAATGTAAACTAATCAAATACACTGCCCACATACATCTTTCTCAGTAAGCCAGCTAAAAAAAAAAAAAAAATGTTACTTCATTCAATATTTGAAAAGAATTCTATAATTAAAGTTCCAACATATGTTCAAATGAGCCTGTCTCAACTTTATTTTAACCTATAATCCATTTTGGTAAATATTAAACTCTTATGTTCTCCATTAATGTCATTTGAGTTTCAAAGTAAATTAGGTATTGTCACCAAAGCATGTCAAATCAATGCTAATATTAGTAAAAAAAATTACATAATTTGAAAGATTAAGATCATTGTGTGCTTAAGGTCTTCTTGTTTGTCACAAGGTTCACTGTCCTCAGAAGTGAAGAAGTTTAAAGACAATACAGGTCATTATCAATGTCAAGTCTGTTTTATTCTTTAGTTTCCAAGCTAAATTTTTATTGCAAAATTTTGACGTTTTTACTGTTATTGATATCAGAGAGAAAGAGAGAGATAGAGACATCAATGTTGAGAGAGAACCATTGATCAGCTGCCTTTTGCATGGCCCCCACTGGGGATCGAGCCCACAACCCAAGCATGTGTCCTGACCAGGAATTGAACCATGACCTCCTGGTTCATAGGCCAATGCTGAACCTCTGAGACACAGCTGGGATATAATTTGTTTGGCATATTATTTCTACACTGATTGGCAAAAAATATTCTTATCGATGCAAGTGGAGTTCTTGGAGGTACTGCAGGAAATAGAATTTCCCAAGGCACCCATAGGATGAAATGTTCATGGAAAGCTTTATTGATGATGTAAAATTAAGGGGGTTTTCCTCCCAGGTCCCATGTATGTTATCTCATCATGGAAGTCCAGTCTTCTCTTCAGCAGAGTGAGATTTAAGGCCACTGCCCAGAATATCTGCTCCATATTAAAGTCTAGTCCAGTCCAGCATCTGGCTAGCTTAGCTTGTGTTCCCAGCTACAAACTGCATGGCCATGGGCACTTGTGAGTGCAGGTCGCACAGCAAGAGAGCACAAGAGTGAACAAGAAGCAAGAGAGAGGGAACTCTAGTCATTAAAATTTCACTGTGCGTGTGCCCATCTCCCCCTCTGCTCCATTCCTTCTCCCAGTGAATTGCAGGGAATGAACAGGTGGTTTCCCAGGGAATAAGATGCTGTAGCTTCCTAGTGAAGCTGCCCAGATGACTATGCTTATAACATTTGACCTCCCTTTTGCTCTCTTCCCATTATTAATATTAATGAACTAGCTAATTATGATTATAATAATACTAGTTCTTGATAGTTAAGTAGAAAATGTTTCACTGTTGACATTTTGTCCTTGAAAGTGCTTACTTTTTCATATGTAAATAATACAGTCAAATTACTCAGGAATGGTTCCCTCCATTATTTTGAGAAATATCAGCACTCTGTCATGTTTCATAATGTCTTACACTGATATACTGTCTCTGTGTTGATACACCAATAATACATCACAATCTTAAATAGATTAAAAAGCAATTCTATTTAATTATAGGACAGAAGATATATTAAGACAAAACATACTCAGAAGGTATACTCAGGAACAATAGTAGTATGTTTAGAAATAATATATTTTGCATGGCATGCCAAGTAAGCAGAAGTAGCTGACAAGACTTAACTTCGTAGAGGCATTACACATATAACAAACAAATAAACAAAAATGGAAGGAGGCTCATCTTTTCAAAATAACAATGAACTTCTTAGAATTCTTAAAATTTAATGTCACTTTGTTTCCTACCTTTACATTGTTTTAGAAAATATGCAGATTTAAGATGTTATTGAATACTGATACAGAGAGTCATATTCATGGAACAAGAAACTTCTTAAAACCATGAGTTTCTCCTTCAATATCTTGTCTTGGATAAATAGGAAGAAGAAACAGAAATGGGAATGAATAGATCACGAACAAATTAATAAATATCTTTTTAGATTTAAAGTTACTATTTATTTACCGAATTGTTATGAAGCACCCATGTGCATACAAAGTTTAATGGCAACACTTATAACAGGTATATAGTGATGTAAAAACTGCAGCCTACCTAAAATATCAATCAATCAATCAATGACAAATGCTTTAGCAGTTTTCTGGTATGTTGCTGTTATTTTGCTAAACAAGATAAATTAGCAAAATAACTTGAGTGGAAATTAATTTACAGTAAATACACGCCACCATAAGTACTATGTTATATTGCTTAAATGTCATTTCATGTGAACTTTATTATATTGGATAATTTAATTTCTTAAATTAACTTTCCTTCAAACACTATCTTATTACTTTGTTATTTCCCAAAGCACCAAACATGAGAAAGAAAATCTATTCCATAAATTTATAAATACAGAATTAAAACATATTTAATGAGTTGATGAACACACTTAACATGGATTTCTTATATAATGAAACTCCTTTAAATATTTATAAATGTCTTTTGATGTTTAGGTTTTCAGTTTTATTTTGCACAATTTAAATGTGCATTATATCCCTTACACAATAATTTAAATTGTGCTCTTGACATTTTTTTTTAATCCAAACTTTATATTGAAGTAAAGGCAAGAAAGAAAATAAGTCTACTTAGATATACATGCTTTGGTAGTACCTTTAAAAAGTTATTTTCACACTGATTGCCACCATCAGGCTGTCAGTGTGGTGGCAGTGGGGCTGCTGTAGCACTGGAATTGAATAATTTTTAGAACGGTAAAGTGCACATTTATGTATGAATAGTGATCTAATTTTTATAGCTACCAGCAAAAGCACTTGTAACCAAATTAAACATCCCACAGGAGTGAAGGTGTGACAGGTGTCACCAAGTTGCCACCGAGGAGGCTCCTGCATTTTCCTCCTCCCATGGACACACCACATCTACACTAATAAAAGAGAAACAAGGTAATTAGTGTATGACTGTTACCCTTTTCATTGGCTAATCAGTGAGATATGCAAATTAACTGTCAACCAATATGGCGGCCGGCAGCCAGGCAGCTTGAAACTAACATGAGGCTTGCTAGCTTCAGTGACTGAGGATTCCAATGTTTCCCGCCTGCGGCTGCAGGGCTCTGAGCCTGCCGTTTGAAACATTTTAACAAATACCACCGTACTTCAGCCAGCAGATTCGCAACATTGTATGCAAAGGCCAGAAACCTACTTTCAGCCGCGGAGGCCTAAGAGCTGGAGCCAAGCCTCAAAGCTAAAGCTGGCCCAGAATAAAAAAAAAAAAAGGAAAAAAGGATCGGTTGGGAGCTTCAGTCACCCCAAG